AAAACAAGTCAAATCAAAACAAAACAAAACGTTCAATAACCGGCAGACAAAACGCACGATCGGTAACACAACCTTCTCGTACGACTGCTAAACTGTTACTCCCATGAACCATACAAACGCAGCAAATGTTTTACAATGTACAAATAATGTATAGGTACATAAGATAATGGGTAAAATGTAAATATATTTTAAATTTTGGGGTTTGAAAATCGATCTAATTTAACAAAAAACATTCAATACTAATAGTGATGTATTATTATTTGCATTCACAAAATTTATATGTATATTTTGCAAGTATCAATGTTCGAAAAATTATATTTACAAATAATACAATATTATCTAAAAAAGGCGTCAGCCATGGGTATGAAATGAAGATCGCTGGCATTTTATAAGTAAAATTTTTTATTTGGTTTAAAAAAACGTTTCGGCTAACTATAGCCTTCATCAGTGTTGTGTCATATGAGAAAAATAGTGTCGAATATAATCCAAAAAATTACATATACAATATAATTCACACCTCATAAGGTTTACTGCCATTAATAAACTAATATAAACTTATCAAAAGTTGACCACATATTTTAACATTATTATTCTTAACACTAAAATTATCTACATTGACTATGGAGTATGCAGTAAACATTATGTGTGTGGTGTGAATATTTTATATGTAATTTTTTGGATTATATTCGACACTATTTTTTTCATATGACACAACACTGATGAAGGCTATAATGTTAGCCGAAACGTTTTTTTTTTAAACCAAATAAAAATAATGAAAAACCAAATGAAAACTTAATCAGCGTTTTTCCCGAACCTAAATCCCAAGAAAATCAAAAAATTTAGAATATTTAGAAACAAGGTTCAAGATTATCAAATTTTCCAAGATTGTAAAACTCTAGTTAATTATTTTATGTGTACAGTTATTTAGGGAATGTCATCGATGTTCATTTCCAAGCCAACTAGACGCCGATTTTTTTCGATGATACGGTATAATTCTTACGTAAAATGTAAATAACATTAGACCAATTAAAACAAAGAAATATGAATTTCTTAGTATTTTTAGTAACACCTTTATTCTTAAAACTTAATTTTGTATTATGCAAATATACCAATTTTATTGTTATTTTATTCATATTGTATTCAGCCATCGCTTAAATATTTGATATTAATTTGGTATTATAAATAATCATTAAAAATTACTGAACAAAAATATATGTTATGCTTGACAACTTGACATACATTATATATTATCAAACAAAAACACATTCTTCTTTTAAACTGTATCAGTCTTGTCTTTACAAAAATCTTTTATAAAATTTGAACTCAAAATAATAATCTTTTTCATGATCTTTAATACACATATTCTTTATTTTTCCCTAGATCATAATACCTACTTACGTGTTTGAATCTATCGAAGCTGAACCAACAACACTTGGAGTGGAGATTCCACAATATGAATAAAATAAACATAATTGTCCAGTTTTCATTAATACCATCATGGGAGAATATTATTTTTAAATTTATTAAAGATATTTTCAATAGAATTCTCTTGATTTATAACTCGTACCCACTTTTCTTGCTCTTCCGGACACTTTAGGCTGCCTAGTATAACTATCCTTTCCACCAGGAACACAACAAAGATGAGGCATAGCACCAAAAACAAACTCCACTTAAGCTTATTGATGAATTGTTAGAGTCTTAAAACACACACACAAAAATCACGATGAGTAAAAAATGTATGGGCACTTTTAGGTTAAATCACTTACACAACATGTAATTTTTCAATTTTTCTATTTTTTTATGCGAAACCGAGAGTGACCATATATCTGGTAGTAGTTTATGTCACTTAAACACCAAAATAATTAGTTTTTTGCACTACAATAATAAATAATACCAAAAATCATAGAGTTAAAACCAAAAATCAACCGACAAAATATGAAACGGAATCTAACCCAATATCTAAGTATGTACAGCTGATGAAGTAAACAAAAGTCCGCCCCCAGGCTGATCTTTTAAAGAACGGCAGTGCCTGGCGGCGTTCTATTCTGCGGTGGCGATCAGACTCAACTTGTCGAGTTTGATCGCGTCATCGCGACCCAACTGATAGGAGTTTTCCGTTATTTTGTGTGTTTTTTCTTGTTGCAATTTAGAAATGGAGTTAACAGAGCAGCTAATTAAGACAAAAGTTTAAGACAAAATTGGATTGGATATGCTTATTGGACATTTTTATTGTTTAAGTTTAAATATTGTAGGTAAATATTTAATTTCGGTATACATAATACACATTTTTAATTTGTACCTATGTATACCTACAGGATAGCTCACTACATATAGGTACGGCGGTGAACGTGAACGCGTTGGTGTGTGCTAGAATGATCGCTCATGTTATCGCTGTCCTGATGGTGATCGTGATCGCGGCCGTGATCGCACCAGTGTGCGTGTAGCTTAAAACTAGAATTAGTTGGGTGCATTCAAATATGAGGTTGTTCACTACGAATACCTGCATGTTCACGAAGAACCCCTTTGGATAAAGCGCAAATTTAAAGAGGCCGTATTCATTTCTAACAACAATAAAATGCTTAGAGATCCAAGTATGGAAATTTCAACAATATGGCAACCACTCATAAACGCTCCAATGCAGGTATTCTTAGTGAAAAACCCCATGCTTGACTGCACCCAACTAATTCACAGGTGACAATTTCGATGCTCAACATTGGCATCTCAATTCATTCTCTGATCAAAATTACGAGAGATACGAATTCGGTTAAATGAGACAAAAGTTGCGTAATTAGAAGTTTGACAAACACCTATGGAGAAAACCCCGGTATATTGATTAGTTTCAGATTTATGTCAAAAAAATGAAAATAATACGTTTATTTTAAATGACAGTATCTTCAGAACTATTGCATCTATTGCAGCGTAAGTTGGTAGGTTTATATTTTTGACCTCGGCCATTTAAATGCCGTTTTCAGAAAATTTCTAAGCCTTCTAGATTTCGCACAACAACAGTTAAGTTTTTGTTTTTTTATGGCCGCCATTTTGAACTTTTATACTATTAGATAGAGCAAAAAATAATCTATACGGTGGTATCTAATTTTTATTCATTATTATGTAAATTCAATAAAAATTTAGATTTTTTCAAAATTTCTTCAAAAGATAAGTCTACCTTGGAAATCCAATCGGCACTTTATATGACGGCAAGTTAATTTTTGTTTACTCTATTAAGAGTCAAATCTGGACACAAAAATTTATAGTAGATAGTGTAAAGTGTATTAACAGTCAACAATATGTTCACAAGTGGGAACGACATATGTATAATGTTTACTTAAAAAATAATAGAAATTCCGATATGGCATGCGCAAGTTATAGAACATTGTATCATGAAAGGACACAGTCTTATCGTACTATTTTTGCAAGTATTTTAAGAAATTTAGCAGTTGCTGGTAGTTAAAAAGCAAGACAGGAATCTTTTAAAAGGCTTAATGATATTAATGTGCCATCTCAGATTGAAATAAATACGGAAACTTTTAGCCATAAAATAAGTCGCGAATGTTGTATAAGTGATTCTTATGTAGGGAAAATTATCAAAAAATATAAATATCAGAACTTTAAATTTTAATGTGTACCATATTTGTATTTTTTACATGCTAGTGATCACGAGCGAAGATTACAATTTTGCAAATGGTTTCGGGAATGTGTTGAAAACGGTTCAAAAGCTTACGCTTACAGTCCCCTTTTTCTAGAAAAAATATTATGGACGGATTAATCTTTATTTACAAAATCTGGCACATTTAACAGAAAAAAAAATTCACAATCATCGAAATGAAGAAAATCCGCATTTAATTAAAAAAAAACAGGCCACAAATAAGATATTCCTTGAACCTCTAGCCTGGCATTCTGGACAATTAAATTTTAGGTTCTGTATTGACCTGAATTCTACTATACAATTTTTCTGCATTCAGATTTAACACTGAATAGAATAAACAAAAAATAAATTGTTGACATATAATGTGTCAATTGGATTGCCATTTCCAAGGCAGACTTGATCTTAGGCGAAATTTTAAAAATCTATTTTTTTAGTGAATTTACATAATAATGAATAAAAATTAAATACCACCGTGTAGAATTTTTTTCGCTCTATCTACTAGTATAAAAATTCAAAATGGCGGCAATAAAAAAACTTGAATGTTGTGCGAAATCTAGAAGGCTTAGAAATTTTTTGAAAACGGCATTTAATTGGCCGAGGTCAAAAATATAAACCTACCAACTTATGTTTCAATAGATACAATAGTTCTGAAGATATTGTCATTTAAAATAAACGTATTATTTTCATTTTTTTTTACATAAATCCGAAACTAATCAAGATATCGGGGTTTTCTTCATAGGTGTTTGTCGAACTTCTAATTACGCAACTTTTGTCCCATTTAACCAAATTCGTATTTCTCGTAGTTTCTGACATGCCAATGTTGAGCATCGAAATTGTCACCACCCTGTATTAGCTCACTAGTTCTAGGATTTAGATTAGTTTACACTTGATAACGGTCTGAATACTTTTAGTTTTAAAATAAGTAATTGATCCGTATCTAACATTTTATAGGTAACAGGCCCGAATTAAGATAAATATGCAAATACCAATATACCTATATAAAATATAAATACATTTTATAACAATTTTAGTAACTACCGACATTTATTGACAACGTAAAATAAAACAACAAATTATTGAGTGTACCCTACATCATATTTTTACACGTTTTGAATAAAATTAGAAGGGCACTGATAAACCGGAATTTAAGTCGGCCATTTTTGGTCCCCATCACGGTCGACCTAAATTTTTTTGTGTTTAATTATATTAGTTTTAATTATTTTTTTGTTATTGGACATGGTGAAGAATATTGTTTCGTTAAAAATTACAGCCTTCCATCAGCCAGCTGTACTAGGCGGCTGTTTTTTTCCCATTGGGTAACTCGGCCTATTGGTAAAACTTTCAGAATACTTACCTAAAATATCGCTTTGTGGTATCCATTTAGATATCATCAAATTAGGTGGAACATCTGTTAAATCGCCCTCAAATTTCCATATTACATTTTGCTTTAAAGTTCCTATTAAATAAACGATTTCTTGTATAGTTTCATTAGGCAAACTACTACTTCTTAAGTTTGAACCCATACTAAACAATATGGCACCATCAGTTGCTGAATCCAGGAAAGACTGAAATTCCTCTGGGAGTTTTTTAGGGGTTATGTGTAATCCTCCCACTTCTTTTACCGATGATGTTAGCGGTACAGACTCAGAAGTACTTACATGCGAACATGTCTATATTAGATTGGAATTGTACATAACCTCTTCTAGATCATAATGTTTAGGAAAGTATTTATTTAACAAACTTTGTTGTGCAGGGTAATGGTAAAATATTTTTAGATACTTATCATACCATAATGCTATTGTATTTAAAAATCTTTCCGAAAAATCCATATATGTGGTAGATATAGAGAATGGAGTTGGTAAATAAGACGGAAGATTAATGTTACCAATTAATTCAGAGCTCCATTGCGATAGAGCTATTGAACTGAACAAAACCAAATGAGCATTGAAGTGTTTGGCAAATGCAAGATGACCTTCATTATGAAAAGTTTCTACTATTACTAGATCAAATAATTCATCGGATTTGAGTAATTGTTGTACTTTGTCATCACTTAGTATTTGTTCGGTACGACCTAGTGTAAGTTTACTAAAGAGAGCGAGGTTTTGAAAAATATTCAATTCCTGTAAGTCATATAGGCTATCTGAAACAAAAAGTCACAATTATTAATACAAATCACTCAAAATATAAAAAAAAATATGTAATAAATAAAATTCCGCCACATTATGTTAGGTCTATATACAGGGTGAGTTTTCTACGATGTTTTCTATGGTTATCTCGGAAACTACTGGAGCCGGAGATGGAAAGTCGGTTAAATGAGGAAAGAATTGCAGTTTTGTGGGGTCATAAATATGCGAATTTTAAATTTTTGAAAAAGTTGATGGCTTGCTAGATATTTCCAAAAAACCAAATTACGACTATTTTAAAAATGGTCCCTAATTCCATTATAATATATTTTAGACAAAAAGTTTTCAGATAAAAGTTGTAGATAATTATATCCTTAATGAGACTGTGTTCTCCGTTTTTTTCTAAAGCCTGTAATTTTTAACATATAACACAAACATATGTTTTTTTTAATTGGAAACTATAATTGGTCATGACTTAATAAAAAACGCCATTTTTAAGCTTTTCAGCGATATAAGCCATAATAGAGTTATAGCCAATTCTTATCATTTTTAAACAATTTCACTTAGTTAGCCATGCATGGAAACAAGTACAATCGTCGTTGCTCTCGAGGTGTCAAACTATCACATCCTGTCATCACATCCAAACTTTGTAAATTAAAATAAACAAAAATTGTAAATATGAATATTTCAAATGAAAGAAAACGTGTAAGATTATTGGTTCAACTTTTCATGGCCATAGATTTACGAGGATACGTTGACCTGTGAACGTTACTTACGCTTTTTAGAGAATAGTTGTCAAGACATGTTAGAAAAGTTAAATTTAAGGACTCGCGCATCAATAGAGTGATTCCAACATGACTTATTATGACACTACCCACCATAATAAAAAAATGTTAAAAATTATTTATATCATAATTATGCAAACTCAGGGATAGAGATGGACCAATTGCATGGGCCATCCTCGGTCACCTGACCTATCAATTTTATATTTTTTATGCGATATGGTTTAACAACATAATTTACAAAAAAACTTATGAATTAAGAGAGGCACTCGAAGAAGCGGTACGGGAGAAGTTTAATAAAGTCGACCTGCCGTTCTATGAAAAAAGCTAGATGCATTTATGTACACAAGACAATGGCGAATTTTTTGAACATTTTTCTAAAATAACTTAAAGTGTATGTAGTGATCTTATTTTTTTAAGTTTTAGTTTGTGTAATGTAAACTGTAAAGAACCGTTAAATAAAATATTCTGTCGTTTCATAAGTTATAAATCATAACAGAATAAGAATAATATGCCAACTAAGGGAAATTAGTCAAGAAAGATAATAATTGGCTAGAAATCATGGCCAACTATGATGGTATTCATTAAAAAAACATATGTTTATGTCATATGTCAAAAATGACAGGTTTTAGAAAAAAAAAGGACAAACACGATTTCATTAAGGATGTGATTATCTACAACTTTTATCTGAAACTTTTTCTCTAAAATAGATTATAATGGAATTAGGGACCATTTTTAAAATAGCTGAAATTTGTTTTTTCGAAATATATCTAGAAAGCCATGAACTTTTTCAAAGCACAGAGCAGAATTATATAGGGTGATTTATGCTTCCGAAAAAACCTTATATGAGGTTTTTGGTTTGTGAATTTCATTTTATTTTTTAAATAATATGGAGGCAATGGTAGCGCACATTTAGTGCTTATTTAAAGCCCTTTTAGAATTCCAAATTCGAAGAAGTTTATAAAATTTTAACAGAAAGCATAGGCGTGCCCACGGGAAGGGAGGCCAGGGGGCCCATGGCCCCCCCTAATCAGAATAAATAATAAATAAAAAAAGACCTCAAACGAAAACCCACAAAAAAACCGTTGGAAAACCGGGAAAATAAATTTTCTGCGTGCGGAAAATGATACTTTGGGCACGCCGTATAAAAAAAATTTTCACCTGCGGCGCTATTTTTTTCTCCGGTTCGTAATCTTTAACTTTGGCCCCCCCTTATTAAAAAGCCTGGTCACGCCTATGACAGAAAGTATATTGTCTTTTCGTATTTGGTTTACCATAATTTGTATTCTTGTTCGATATATACAGGGCGAGTCAAAACTAAATGTTCTATTTTTCTCTTGTTTAATCTTATTGTTTTATTAAGCACTTTCTATACCCAAAATCAATATTTAATGAGAAAATTGTTTTTTTTTTGAAAATATGAGAGAAAATATGACATTTATAATTAATAATGTATAAGAAGACACTTGTATACAGTACTACCTTTAAAAAAATAAAATTATTCAAATTTAGAATTTAAAAAGGGCTTTAGGTAAGCAGTAAATTTAGTTTAAAAACTGTTATATTTCAAATACTAGTCTTTATAGTATATTTATAACATTAGGGTATTGTTGGAATGGAAATTTAATGGTAAATCAACTAAGTAAAAACATATAATATTCCATTTAGAAATATCCAACTTTGGTTTGAAAATATGTTTGAATCGCTCTGTATGTTGACCAAAAAATTTTCAAAATGTGCGTTACTATTGCCCCATATTATGTAAAAAAATTGAAATTAAATTGACAAACCATAAACCTAATGTAGATCTTTTTCGGAAGGCTGAGTCACCCTGTATTTAGTTAAAAAAATAAATTGATAAAATAAAATTTACACAAAATATTGGAATATACTATTTTACATATTCCAAAATATAAAAGAACACCCTTGAATGTAGATAAATACACTCCGTTAGTAAGACTGTATATTAGGGTGGATCGTAAATCTCAAAATTTTCAAATTTTTAAAACATCGACTTGGAATACCTATGAAAAGTTGCCTTTGGTAAAGTTGATAAAAAAGTGTTACTACAACTTTTTAATAAAATCACATCTTGTGCCCTCTACGAGCCCTTAAAAAATGAAAATTTGTTTTTTTTGAAAAATCGATTTGGAATACCTATCAAAAGTTACCTTTAGTAATGTTGATAAAAAAGTTTATTTAAAATTTTTTCATTAAATCACGTCTTCTGCCCTCTACCGGCTGTTAAAAATTGAAAAAAAAAATCAAACCCAGAATACTTGCCTGTTTGATATCAGCGCATGCAAATGCGATTTTTTTGACCAATGTTTTTGCGTAAAGGAAAAAAAGGTACCTAAAAATGAACAGGTTTTTTTGATAGATCAGAGGGGGCGTAGAAAGATGGTTATCGGGAAAATTGCCAGAACGGAAATAGATATGCAACGGAAAGAACTACAACAATCTATCCAACATGAAAGCAACGTTAATTTATGAAGAAAGCGAAAGTCATCGACAGATATAGAAATTGATCATGAATTGCCTTCCACTTCCTATGACAGTATCAAGGAAAAATCAAATGTACAAAAAATGTTGTCAAACTTCCTATACCCTGGCTAAAGTTTCTGACCGCTATAGACTATCAGATAGATCTGCAGCAGCAGTGGCAACGGCAGTGCTACACGACCTTGGAATTGTCACCAAAGACAATAAAAAAACGTTATCTCTTTCAAGTACGGTGGATCACAATTTGAACCACCAATTTTTAACGCGTTGAGGTATGGTGAGGTAAAGAATAAACCACCTAGATTTAAATTTCTGGCGCTAAGCTACGTCGGTTTATTTATTGTACCGCCGAGGAAACGCATGTATTAGGATGCCGGCCTTGCAATTTCCCCCTCCACGCAACGATATCTAAGATATTAGCCACAGGGGAACTGTTTACATTTTATACGAATGCCAACATCCTATTGTTATTGTTTGTTATGTTGCCAAGTCTACCGAAGATTTGTCAAAGCCTTTGTTTATTTTTAATTTTGTATACGTATACTTTGGGAAAATCTTAAGAATAATATAAATAAAATCTTAATATATCTTAATATTAAGAAAATAATAATATAATTAGCTTACTACATTTCAGAATTTCGATTTTTATAATTTTATTTAGTATTTAATAAGATTCAAGTCAAAGATTACAAGAAATATTTGCAAATTTCGTCATTTTTACATCAACCGTTATGATTAATTTTTAATCTGGCAACGCCGCTCTGTTGTTATAGTATTTTCTATAGTAGGGGAATTGGACGTGTTCAACAGTGTCAATAAACAGCTCATTGGCATAATCAGCTGTCTGGGGTGCTTTTATTTTTCCATATTTCTTAACTATTAATAAACTATTAGTGTATAATTGTTTCATTTTATATAAAGGACCAAAATTAAATTAGCATTTAAAATGGGTGTACACTGGGAAATGTGTAAGAATTAAAGAATTTAAACATCGTGGAGTGTCATTTCAAAAGTAAGTACTGTTCTGTGGTAATGCATTTTTATTGTTAATCTAAGATATTAGCGTGTGTCGTTTGAATTGAGTGCAAAATGATGGCCGAATATTTACTGCACGTTTATGTTAATTTGTGGCGCTTGGTAAATATGTTTTTTGACTAATTTTTTGTGCTTACAATTGTGGAAAGTGGTTTACGTAAAGCATAAAAGGTAATTAATACTTTATTTAATTGAATATTAGTTTGATTATGCGCATTTTCTCTTTGTTAGTGCAGTGTTCAAAAATTGAACCACCATACTTCTAAGGCAATGAACAGCGATCGCAAATACCGATATGATTATCTTACTTCACTGGATCCAAATGCTCTATATAACATCCTAGATGTCATTGACGAACAAAATGTAGCAATACCGTCAGATTCAGGTTCAGAAAATGACAGTACCGATGAAAATGATCAAGATGCGGATGCTTCCACTAGTTTAGTTCGTGATAATGAAGAACCTGAACCTGAATACGTGCTTTCCGCCTCGGACGATTCAGATTATGAGTGGGATGCAGAAGATTTGGTACTTTTAGCTCGGTTAGCAGCAGAAATGAAACGCAAAAACAGATTTCATGGGACAAGAATTTGGCTAATATTCATGCACCAATTCCATTTAGTGAAAATACCGGACTGCATCAGTTTATCAGAGATATTCCGAACCCTAGCCCACTAGATATTTTTAGACTATTTATTACCGATGACATTATCAATCATAT